GTCGGCGTCGGCGTCGGCGTCGGGCGGCCGGCGCCCTCGGGCCCCGCTGACAGCTCGCCGCGGAGGACGCGGACCGGGATGGGCCGCAGCGAACCGAGACCGAGAACGGACCGAGGGAGACGGGGCCCCGGTGGTGGTGGTGGGGAGAGGTCCCGGACATAGGGCTGGGGCCCGGGGGCGTTTGGGCCCCGGCCACTGTCATTTTGACTTGGTCTTGGTGTTTTCTCATCTCTAATGGTCTTGAACAGGAGGCAGAGTGTAGTTGCACTTACAAAGGGAGGGCATAATTTGTGGGTAGGAAAATAGTTTGCTTGGCTGTATCATATTTCCAGCTGGCATGCTGATACGTCGTTGGAATTCTTTTTAAATAGAATTTTAATATGGATTTGGGTATCTTTTATAGAGCCCCACTTGGAATATACCGAGCCGCACGACATGATTGTTTTTTAGACTAGGTACGTTAGTTTTTTGTTGCCCTCCTAAGGTCATAAGTACATTTTTGTAATATCTGAACAAATGATTTTGTCCTTAATCCAGAAAATTACATAGTATACCGTGTCAGATTGTAAATAAAATCATAAAGGAAACAGTCTTGAAATTTGTGAAGCAGTATTTAAAGTGCACACAAGAAGTCCATTTTGATTTTTCAGTGACATGTTCTTTGTATCAGAGATTCATCCAAGAAAGGATTGGTGGGCCTTGTGGTCACTAACTTCTGAGTTTATTGAAGTTCATACAGTTGCTGCATTTGGTTATTCAACACTGATTCTGTATTGGGTGATCATGGTCTAGAAAATTCCAGGTCTTTTTATTTTAAAACTGTTCCAGCTGTATTTGGGGATTCAGTTGCTTTTTGCAAGCTCTTCACGTGACTTGTTCTTTTATTTAGACTGCGTTTTGTGTATAATACGTGCTTGCAGCTTTTCCAGGTAAGTTGTGATTTGTAGTAGCTGAAGACTGGGTTTTTTTTTGCTGTACCCACTGCACATTAACACAGTCATTTATTTAAGGGTGTTTGTAGCTCAGTAGACTCACATTAAGGCTTTTTCTCTGCTTGACATACTTGGGTGTGCATGTTTAGATGCTGTTTCCTTCTTTTGTTCTTTTGCATTTATCCCTAGTTTATTACTCTAGTTATTTAGGTAGATGTGGAGAAAAACCTGAAAATGTTTATTAGTGATACATGAAATTATGCATTTATGCCTACATTGCTGGATTATTGGATTGAAATTTAATATTTCTTACTCACTTTTTTTTAGCCTACTCTGGGCAGTATACAACCCATTGAGTCATCGATTTTAATTAAGAGACCTGACTGAATCTCAGGCTCGGAACACACAGCCAGCCTGTTTGGGACACTTTACTGGCTGCTCTCGTGTGACCTAAAGTTTAGAGAGTTTAAAGCTTTGAATTAAAATGCGTGTATGTGCATGTCCTCTGGGATTTGAACTTGAGGCCTGGGTGCTGTCCCTGAGCTTTTGCTCAAGGCTAGCACTCTACCATTTGAGTCATAGCTCCACTTCCAGCTATTTTTGGTAATTTATTGGAGATAAAAGTCTCCCAGACTTCCCTGCCTGGGTTTGCTTTGAACTGTGATCCTCAAATCTCAGCCTCTTGAGTAGCAAGGATTACAGACATGAGCCACTAGTGCCGGGGATTTTTTCCCCACCCAATTTTTAGATTGAATACTCTGAAAGCTGAAGTATGGCTTGCAAAGACCTGAAAGGGAAACTTTTTATATTAATTTGCTACTATCTAGGTCTTATGTGTGATCTCACACATTTAAATAATACCTTTTCTGGCAGTGATGTCAGAGAAAATCAACATAAATTTCCCTCAGAGGTGGGATTAACTTTCATTTTTCTGAAATCCAGATGTTGAAGAAATAGAGCTGACAGCTTGGCATTGGGTCTACCCTCATGTTGGAGGTGGGGAGGGCGGGGAGAGGAAAAAAAAAAGGGCGGAATTTTTCATAATTCTGGATCTTGTCTCCTTTGCCTGACAGCAGTGGTGTCTACAGCTGTGCATTGAATATGGGTCTTTTCAGAATTCATCAGCTTGTATTGCCTATTTGGACAGTAGAAAAAAAAACCCTAATCCTTTATGTAGAACAAACTAACTCCTTCTCTCTTTCTTCTTTCCTCTCTTTCCCCTCCCTTTCCCTCTTCTTTTCCTTTCTCACCCCTCCTCCCCCTGCCTGTCTATCTCTGTCTGACTGTCTCTCATTAACTCAAACTAATGTTTATGAAGCCTCTGCTGTGTGTCAGGCTTTTTGCTGGGTTGTGCAGTGTGCACAAAATCAGCAGTAATTCTTCTCCTGGAGTCTGCACTTGCAATCCAGGCTGGCAAAGGAACACACAGTATTGGTAAGTTGCAGATCAGCACCAGGGCAGGTAGTAGGCCCTTAATGTATTTGCTGATCAGCAAACAAAGAAGAACACCATGCTGTGAGAACACAGGTTATATTGTCTCTGACCAAAGAGCATGCCATTTTGCCATGGGCCAGAGCTGCATAAACTGTAGGTACACTAGGCATTTTTAACTAGAATTTTTTTTTGACTCTCTGCTTTGTATTTAGCTTTTTTTTTTTTTTTTAACATGTCTGACTAGTTCTGTATGATTGAATCTTGGAAGGGACATTGAAACCTTTCTGGTAGACAGGAAGAGAAGGCTTCAGTGTTTAATGTTTCTGAGTATTTGGATATGAACCATAGGAAGATTATATTCTCTGAAGTAACATTGGAAAGACCACATATAGAAGTGTTAGTCAGCTGCTGGATCTCTGATCCCTTTTGGGGACTGTGAGAACTGAGAGATGAAATTTGCTCTTCTGTGTATTTGGGGATGCTGAGGTTGTAACCCAGAGCCTGTGTATGCTGGGCAGGCACAATGGAACATTGCACTGCACCACATTCTAGTGACCCCTCTTCCCCAGCAGCAGCCTTATCCAAAGTCCTTTTAACTAAGAAGCAACAGACGCTTTTTGCAAGGAATGAGGAACAGCCACAGGTTTGGGGCAAGCCAAGTCATTGAGATGCAGTTCCCCAGCTTTAAAAACATGTCATAATAGCAGTGCTAATGTCATTGCTATCGAGAGCGAGCAAGCAAGATAATGGAAGGAAAGAAGTTTGTGAAATGTAGGCTGCTCTTGCTAACTACAGGTGCCATACCTCAGGCTGGCTGCAACATTTGTGTTGTGTGTACATGTGTATTTGGTGAGAATCTCCTGAGCCTGTGATAAGTCAGTGACTCCTTTAAGCAGTAGGTACTTATGGACACTTGGGGTAACTCAACAGGAGCGCCAAGTCTCTTGCTTTCCCTGGTCCTCTCTCTGCCCAGCGCTATGGCTCTCTGCTGATTTGCCCTTATTGGAGACCTACTGACCTCACTAGTCCAGCAAATTAAGAGAGGCCTTTTTTTGGGGGGGGGCGGGTCCGGTAGTTGGGCCTGAACTCTGGTCCTGGGCGCTGTCCCTCAGCTCTTCAGCTCAAGGCTAGAGCTCTACCACTTGAGCCACAGCGCCACTTCCGGCTTTTTTCTTTTTTCTTATGTGGTGCTGAGGAATTGAACCCAGGGCCTCATGCATGCAAGGCAAGCGCTCTACCACTGAGCCACCTTCCCAGCCTTCTCAATTTTTTTTATCAAACCTAAAGTATCTGAAAATACCAACTTGTTTACATTTTTAGGTGACTTCTGCTATAGAACCCTTAAGTTACAACAGATTGTTCAAATGACAAAACTTGGTGTAGCACAAAACGCTCAAGTGTTTGAAATCTCCAAAGGTGCTGAAGAACTCAAACTGGGTCAGGGAGGAGGAAAAAAGTGCTAGCCTTTCTTCTTTCACTGCATGGGCTGCCAAAGTTGCTGTGTTTTTGAGGCGGGAAAAGGCATTCCTGTTTGGGCTGGCCACAGGGCCTTGTTTAGAAAAAGTGGTGAGATGAGAATGCTCAGAGGAGCAAAGGGCTGTGAGCATATCAGAGAAGTTGCAAGCACCTAGAGGGGCCTCTTCAACAAATTTTCCTCTTTTGTCAAATGTTCCTCTGGGTGATGGAGACACAGCAGAGAACCAAGTGACCTTCTGGAGTTGAGGGGACTCCAGGCTATGAGCAAGGCACACCTCATAATACCAGCAGTGTGGGAGGGAAGGGGTAGGGGACAGCAGAATGGGGAGCTAGTAGCTTTCCTGAGGCTGTGGCATAAATGACACAGGAGGTTCTATTAGTATTTCTACGGCTATAGAAACCCATTTGTGTGTGTGTGTGTGTGTGTGTGTGTGTGTATTTATTTTTTCTGGTCCTGGGGCTTGAACTCAGGGCCTGGGCACTAACTCTTGAGTTTCTTTGTGTTCAAGGCTAGCTCTCTACCACTTGAGCCACAGCACTCCTTCCAGCTTTTCAGAGTAGTTTATTGGAGAGATAATAGTCTCATGGACTTCTGCCCAGGCTGGCATTGAACCGCAATCCTCAGATCTCAAGCCTCCTGAGTGTCTAGGATTACAGATCTGAGCCACTGGTGCCTAGCTCCACTTGAGTATTTTTTGAGTTATGAAACTGAGTTCTTCAGTGGCTGAATTGGCCTTCTTTCTGCTGTCATCCCATCGGCTGGGTTGCTAGGGGAGATTGGCATCATTAGACACCTTTGGTGTCATTAGAGCCAGATGACAGTGGCTCTTGATGGGTGTTCCTTGGAAGAGGAGGTGGGCTGTTATGAGCTCAGAGGGAAGTGTCGAGGAGGAGGACTTGAGAGAGCATGAGGATA